CAGAGAGCGCTGGAACATGGAAGTGCAACTGAGACACTCAACATCTCGTCGGACTTCGCAGTTTGAATATGAGATCAATGTCTCGTCTTCGCGATGCAGCGGAATACGTCTCTAAGGCAAAACACGATGGGATGGTCATATAATGAGAAGGACAGACGACAGATGGATGCTAAGAACTCTGGAATGGATTCCTCGCAAAGCAAAACGTCCTCAAGGGAGGTCACCGACCAGGGCTGACGTGTTGGTTGCACGGATGGACCAGCTGAATTTTCAGCTGGCAACGAGTAATGGATCTGGACCTCGCGAACGTCGCCGCCGCAGTTCAATACCAAGATCCTGGATATAGCTAACGAGAGACAGAAACGGATGGAAACAGCTGTGGCCTACGCGACAAGTGAAGACAGCCCATCTAAGTATCTAAGTAACTATCTTGCAGGTGGTTCTCCATTTTTTTTTCTTTAATTGGAAAATACGTAAATCCTTTATATGGCATCATGCAGATCAAAGATTTCACATCACAAAACCAAAGTGAAAATGAACACTAAAAGTGGACCGTAAATAACATTTCACAACTTTACGTCGTTGATGCAACTACAGCAATTATGAGAACGACATTTGGATGACTCTGATTTGATTTTACTTGGTAGTATCGGCGGTGGGCGTGAACAGTCAATAAGGACTAATAATTGAGTCGTCAAAAGTGCTGGAAAACAAAAGATAATGCAAGTAATCCTCTCATCGCAATTAGCTGCACCTACCTATTTCGTTTCTTGTATCAGCCGAAAACGTTTGAACTTCGCGTTTTGCTATGTTGGCAAGCCTATCGCTACGTTCCGAATAGCCAGGCTAAACGATTTTTTTAAAAATATCTTGTTTGGAAAATGGTAAAGCAGGAAGCACTCAAATTGTTTTCGCCCAAGAATAAATCGGATCTATCCCTAAAAACATATTCCAAATAAGTATTTTTCCGCAGATTTACCTCAAATGGCCATGCAAGCATTAAAGCAGCGACAGCACTGCTTGCAAAGACGCCGGCTATAGTTGTTCGCCGCACTTCAGAGCATACCGTACGCCAAGCGTCTGACAATGATTCAGCTGAATCACGATAATTATGCGCCTAAAATTAGCTTCAGTAGATTTTTGCTCTTAATTTGTTAAACTTCTTGTAATGAGATCTGCAGCCACTACATTGAAGCCAGAACAAATATAGGCAAATGTGAACGCAGTTAATTTACATTAAACTAACCTTATCTAATCTGACATCCTTTTCATTGCAGCACAGTGTGTGTGGTGAGAAACATTGAGCAAATTTGCGACAACATAACTGCAAATTTTTACATTGATTTTTTGCTGAGAAATGCTGAATGGAGATTTCCTAAGTG